CATCGAACTGACCACCAACCAACCAACCAACCAACCAATCAACCATCGAACTGACCACCAACCAACCAATCATCAAACTGACCATCAACCAACCAACCAATCAACCATCGAACTGAGCCCAACCAACCAATCATCAAACTGACCATCAACCAACCAACCAACCAATCAACCATCAAACTGACCATCAACCAACCAACCAATCAACCATCGAACTGAGCCCAACCAACCAATCATCAAACTGACCATCAACCAACCAATCAACCATCAAACTGAACCCCAACCAACCAACCAACCATCAAACTGAACCCCAACCAACCAATTAACCATCAAATTGAACCCCAACCAACCAACCATCAAACTGAACCCCAATCAATCAACCAACCAATCAACCATTAAACTGAACCTTAACCAACCAAGCAACCAACCAGCCTACCTAAGGAGGACATTCCTCCTCTTTCGAAAATCCTTGAATTCCTGTTCGTGTCTGAGTATCGATTTGTGCTTGTCCAATGTTTGATAGCCGCCCGGGTACTTCCAGATGTGGACTGTGCTCGTCAATCAAGTTCATCATCATCCTCGTCACCATTATCATCAACATCACAATCGTCACTATCATCATCAACATCACAGCCATCATCATCATCGTCGTTACCATTATCATCAACATCACAACCATCATCATCATCATCACAATCATCATCACAATCATCACAATCATCATCACAATCATCATCATCACCATTGAGGACCCACTTGCTTCATCGAGATCTCCCACTTCAACAGTCCAGCTCCCCAACAGCTGACCACCCGTGCCCCACTTGCTCACCATGTGACTGAACTTCTCACTGTGGTGATGGTGTGGTGACGATGATGACGACGACGACGATGATGACGATGACGACGACGATGATGATGATGAGGCTTATCAAACAACATGATAAAAAGGTGTGAAGATGTTTCAATGAGAAGAAGATGTTGGTGATAAGAATGAAGGTGATAGTAATAGTTACAATGGCAAAGACGATGATGATGATGATGATGACGAAAGTAATGATGATGATGATGATGATGATGATGATAGGGCAATAATGACAGAGACAAACTATTCATCAAGATATTCATCCATGGCCTCCGGTCGAACCTTGTGCACTGAATTTGAATGTTCGAATGAATCAATAATTAACTACTAATCATTTTATTATTCCAGCATCATCAACATTTTCATATTATTGAAATTTTACTGAAGCTCAAACTCAAACAAAAGATTGATCCTCTGGTTAGTTTCCTAAATCAAAACTAGACAGAAATTTTTTTAAACAATGAAATTTTTCTGTAAAAATGAAAAAACAGCATGCCCTAGAAATAGAATGATGAGAATAATTAAAATAATTACTTTGAAGTTCATAGACAATATCTTTGACAGCTAGAAGATTGGAGTGAGATTCAGTGCCAGCTTCCAATCGGTCGCCCATCATCTTCCTCAGCCATCCAGACTTATCTGAGTCCTCATCGATCTTCTTCTTCTCGTCATTTGTTTCCTTCAGGTTTGATCCAGACTTAAAAAAAGCTGACAACGACTTTGAAGTAGAAGCATAACCTCTGCTGGAATGTTTTTTTATTTATTTTATTATGTTGCATTTTTATCTTAGAAATAATTGATTTTATCTATTGAATAAAGAATACTAAACTAATTTAATAGCATACATTAATTAATAATTAACAAACTAATAAAATTATAAATATTTAATAAATTATTTAACATACTTAATAAAATATTGAATTAATAGAATAAATTAATAATAATAATGATACTTTAGTTTAATCTTTAATAAGTTAATTATTAAATAAATCAATCAAAATATGAAATATCAAAAAAGTTACAAGTTTACATTTTAAACTTTAGTATATTGAACAATTAAATCGCAATTATCTCTTTGCAAAGTTAATACGTCGTTCCTTCCAAATGTAATTCAAATAAAATAAGTTATTGAAATTAATTTGAAAGTCCACACAATTTGAAATCGCTGAAAAAATAATTTCCTAAATTGACATTTCCTAATTAAACTTCACAAGGAACAAACGTTACTCCGGAGACCTGGAGTGGTAGGTGTTTCCGGCAGAACTCTCCGCTAAACTCCGGAAAAGACTTTTAACGTGCAACCTTCGCAAGAACTTCACGGCTTCCATTACAATTTCTTCAACTTTGTGTGCGTGTTTGCTGGTGAACTATCCAGACTGAAATATATAACGAATATGATATATTCGATATATATGATACATATATACATTATATATCCATATATGATTTATATATTACCACATATGTATGATACATTTGATATATAAATGATATAAAAGTTAACCAATTTCTTACATCTGATGTGTGCGAGGTGAAGGCTGCTTAAAGATGAACTTTCGCCATGGTTATATTTTATATATTCGTGAGTCTCGATTTGGTTTCGCTTAACTATAGTTCAATTTTTATTTTTATAACAATTTTCAGAATAAATTTAATGATATTCGTTAGTTGTTCACTCATAAAAAATAAAATTTCATTAGTCCTTATAGCAAAAATGACCAGAGCTTTTCAATACATGATACAAAATTGATACAAATTGCCGTAGAATGCATATTGGCTTAAGTTTAAAAAGTTTGAAAAATTAGTTTTTGTTATATTTAATGTTATAAAATATTTTTTTTAAATAATTAAACATTTTTAGGATCGGCTTTATTGGCTATTCGCAGCTTGGAAAATTTGAGCGGCTTCCAACTCCAAGTCGAGCCGAATCGGCTCCATCAGCTTGGCTCGGCTAGGTCCACCGTTGCAAACGTTCTTAATTATAAACTTGAGTTTAGAGTGGCTTGAAACTTATATACTAATTAACATTTATTGTTAAACATACAGAATGAATTAATTTACAAAACAGAAGGTGCTACAAATGTCAATTGTTTTATAAAAGTCTCCACCAGTCCTCGAAAGTATCAGCATGTTTTTCACAAAAATGAGCCACATGTGTTGCATGAAGAATTGCTTGCAAATTATTGGAAGAATGAATCAATGTTGATTTCGGGGTTCTTGCCAAAAAGAATGACAAGAAATAAGAGCAAAAATCATGCCTATACATGGCGGTTGTTTTCACGCCGTTTTCCGACAATGCACATATTGATGGAGGGAGGGGCACAAAAGTTTTCCACTCTGCAGAAGTTCATTATTCTACGTGTTCTACACGTAAAATGAAATCACACTTGATGAAGTTGAACTCTTAATGGGGTAACATTACGACTGTGCCTGGATTCGAACTAGTAGTCAGCTTATTCAATGTAGTCGTTTCGTTAATGAAATGAGGAGTGTCCCTTTTTCAACTGAAATGTTTCTGAGAGACCGATTGCCTAATTCCGTGGGCCAAATTTATGACTTCATTTGTTTCTCTGGAAACTTCAGTCTGAACGACGATTTTAGAATTTATTTTATGAATTTGATGTTACCAGTTGAACCTTTTACATTATTTTTTAATTTCAAAAATTGCAGAAATAATAAGCTGTGTTGAGGAATGGTTTAAAAATGTGAAGTCCTGTCTAATTTGCAGGAGTCAGCTTTGCAATAAAAGCAAAGTTCTTAGGAATCACTTAATAAAGGAGCTGGGATCCACTTATCATTTAATGATTAAATTGTTCAGTGTACCAGATGAATAATTTTTTTCTTCAAAAGTAAAAAATAACTTTATTAAAACTATCCCTGATTTTCTGTGATTGATTATGCATTTATTTTAAATCTTTAAAAATGTCAAACTATATTGTGTGAATTAGATAAATAATAAAAATTAGATGTTACTTTGAATATGCACAGTCTTTAGCTTTTTAAACAATGTTTAAATTTCGGAATTAACTAATTGCTTGTAATAATTACAACTGACACAAAAGTTAAAATTTTTATCGACAATCTTTATAAACCAAATTATTGAAAATTATTTGAAATCGTTTCAAATATAAATATTTTAAAATAAATTGTAACTTTATTAACGTTAATAATAAAATCATAAAAATCTAAACAAGCTTAAAAACTAGTGAAACATTTTTTTTAATTATGAGAATAGTCGTCATTGTTAATATATCCACTACAATTCAAAAAATATTAGTCAACGAAATTTAATTAATTTTATGACCGTACAAACCTGCGGCTGTGCAACTTTTACCAGCAAATATTTTAGCGTACAACAACGAGGTCATGTTAAATATTTTATAAATACAACTAATTAAATTAATGTAAAGATATGGTCTAATGGTGCCGTGATAATTTGGAGACCTATGTCTCATTTTTCTCTAAAGCAGGAGTGGGCCAACTTTTTTGCTGTGAGGGCAACCTTGAGGACTATTTTACCTATGAAGGCTGCAAATTTTTTCGAACCGAGGGAGAATTTTTTATGATTTGTGGCTCTTTTTATTGGTCATAATGTCTGGCTGACGACCTTTTTGGCAGGTGGACCGCATCCGCAGGCCGTAGTTTGCCCACCTCTGCTTTAAAGAAACGTTCCAAGTCCACCACAAAGAAAGTAACAAAAAGATAAAAAGTCAGAGTCGATTGAACTCTGAGCTAAATTTTATTTTAGTAATTTTACTCAATTATTTATCATATTTTTATTTTTTAAACAAACTGATTATTTTGATGATAAAAACTTTCAAATGGCCAAGAAACGTTTTCTTGTTTTTTATATTATTTATTAAACTTTAGGAGTAAATTGATCAAATAAATAAATTAAACAAATTAATTTTTAAAACAAATTAAGATTTACCAGCGGGTAGATAATGTTATCTTTTAAAGTGAAATTAGGAGCAGGAAAAGTATGTCAAAGAAGTTAAATAAAGCAAGCTAGTGTTTCTATGAGGACTTTGTATCAAGAGCAGCGTTGAATTTTGTTTAGACTGAAGCCATCTTTGAAATCATTTTTAATCGTTTTTTTTTCTTATTTATTTTATTCATGTATACTATTGAAAAAAAAAGATTAATGACGATTGTTGAGTATTTAATGAGGAATGGCAACTGAATAGTATTTCACAAATGTTGGTGAAAAAGCATTCCGCTTATTTTGTCGCGAGTTCAAAGATTAAAAACACGGTTGAAAATTGTGAACAATTGCATACTTGCCTTTAATAAGAAAATATGTATTATTTAGTTTTATTAAGATGTATGGCAACACTTAATAATAAAATAAATTCTTACAGTAATTTTCAAATAATTGTTTAACCTGAATGCCTGCTAAATATTAACCACTACTATATAGGTTTGCTTCAACTGCAAGTCCAAAATAACATTTAAAATCATGTCAACTTCGGTTAATCGGACCAATTTAACTTGGTCCCGATATGTTCCGATAAACCGGCTTCAACTGTGTCGCATTTTCAATACATATGTTTCTTGTCAGAAATATCGTCTGTGTGAAGTTTGAGTGCTTCAACAGAGCCGAAACAACCTTTATATGCTAGTGAAATACAAGCTTGAATGGTGATAAACGAACTTGTATTTGAATATGGCACGAGTGCATATACAAATGTTAAGTGGAAAGTGTACTAATTGTGAATGAAGTGAACAGCAGTGCAGGTGTATAACAAGCACGTTGTTCTGTTTTGGAAGGTATGTATGCATAGGGAAGCGAGTTGAATGCAGAGTTTTAGAGTTTTAAATGAATGGTCGTTAGCGATGTTCATATGAAATTACCGTTGCGCTTTCGTTTTAAATTAACGTTGTGAATTTGTTGAATTGGTGTTATAGTTGTGTTACGTTGGTTATGTTGCGTTATTTGGCGCTATATTGTTACGGGTGAACGTTGAACATTTGAGCTTTTAACAAAATATTTTCGTAAGTTTTTAAATGGCAAAACCATGGGCAAAACAAATATTTATATTCATATTTTTTTGGAATATTGGTGAAAGTTTAGTGGTGAATTAATTATTAAATGATGAATAAATAAAATAATTTAATTCATTTTTAAAACATATTAAGATTTACCGACTGTGATCTTTTAAAGTGAAATTACATGTGAACGGAAAAATTATGTAAACAAAGTTGTAGAGAACAATTTGTAGGAGGCAGCTACCTTTCCAAGGCTGAAATTTTCAAATATCTTTTTGAAAAATTTGCTGAAACAAATTCGGAGATAATGGTTTTCCAGTTGGGTCACTTCGCGTTTTTTGATCCAGGATCATAAAGACCAGATTCATTGAAAACAAAATGTAAAAGTGAATATTTTTAACGGTGCACTTCGAAAATTCTCTTGGCATCTTTTTGTCAATTTTTTTGAAACTCCGACAAATTCAGGATTTGGTTAATTTTGTTAGTTTGGAAAATTAAAAAAAAAAACAGATTCATTATAATAATTTAATGGTTTTTCTTATTACTCAGTGTCAGGAACGAAATTTAAACGATTAACGATTTCTTACCACAACAACCAGCCCGGTTAACGAGCATCACATGGTAGACAGCGTGAACATCCAACAAATCGACTGCTATCTAGTTCGGAGGACCCTCATGTGAATGGAAGCAGCAAGGATTTGGAATGGTGCCGTTCGACCCCCATTAACCGCCTTGCTGGAGTTGAAACCAGACCGTTGAAAGTAAGCTGAACTCTCAAATGTTAGTTTGTTTTGTGCCAAATTGTTTAATTTGCCTGCAAAAACGATATATAATTGAATTATACATTATGACTTGTTTAAATTTCAATTTATGTTGACGCCTTTGACGTTCTTTGTGACTTGTGCTTGGATTTTTTTTCACAAAACGAATTAGTGCAAGTACTGACGTGGTAATTAAATTTGAAATAATCCTTGCAAAATAAATGAGAAACAAACCCTTAAGTAAGATGCCTTCACCCTGCGTCGCATTTAAAAGCAAAACTTATCAAAACATTTGATAAAGTTAACGGTATTTAAGTATTTCTGTTGAACTTTTAATAATTTAATTAAAGATTGTAAAAATAACTATAGAAGTTTGATGTATCTGGAATTGGTAGGTGTACCTCTGATTGTTTAAATTTTGAACGTAGAAATGTTTCGATAGATGCGGAAACAATTGGCAAGACGTTTCGTCATCGTAGAAATTGCAAGACAAGCATAGGGCGAAGCGAACTGTTTGGCGCACTCCAGCGCACTGCTCACTGGAACTCTTCATTAATTAAATCCGTACTGCCAGGTTGAGAGATGGATGTTGAGCGGTTGTGACGTTGCAATCTAATCAATCCAATGTTGCGTCAATATAAGAAACAATTGAATTACCTTTCTTGGTTTTACTTACAAAATTTACGGTGTAGATTACCAAACGGCAAACAGTTCAAAAAGTTTTGGTTAAAAATAAATAAAGTTGAGCAAAATTCAACTGTGAAAGGCTGAAATAGTTTCCAGTCCAGATTGAAAAAATCTAAATATAAATTATGTCCAATTTGATCTTAACCCTATCAAACATTTCCACTATAAGAGGCATCAGTCCCAAACCTCATCCTGTTATCTGGCTGCATGTTTTTTTACATCCACGTTGTCAAAATCAAATAGAAACACGATATGTATGAAACTCGCCAAATATTGCTTTATTGTTCCTCAAAGATGCTGACACATAATTGAACAACGACAAATATCATTTTTATTGGTGCTGCTGTTGTTGCCGGTCGAGAAGTCTTTTCAAACGAGAAAAAAATAAAGGTTCGACTTGTTCATTACTTTGAACGATTCAAAAGAGATATACAATCGTATATTGCTACTGCTAAAATTCTTAATCATTACTCATTTCGTTATTGAGTTTATTAATTGAAAATGTTAAAGTTGTTGAATTATATAACAATTTTAGTCAGTACGTTGTCCCTTGCCAACTTCTTCACCACTCCCGCCATGTATTCGCTGGCCTTGTTGCCATACTAGCGAAGCAGTCCTCAGTTTGTTTTCTTTTTCGCCCATTGTCTTCATGATTGTCGTAATTGTACGTTGACTCATTAGCTTCATCATCATTCTCATTGTCACCAACATCATCATTATCATCTTCATCAATTACATTATCATCATTGTCATCACCATTTTTTCTACCATTATCCTCATTGCTATCATCACTATTGCTATCCTCATCATTTTTATCATCATCGTCACCACTATCATAATTATCGTCATCATCACCATCCACACCATCAATACTTTCATCACCATAATTGTTAAAATCATCATAATGACCGTTTGCAAAGCCGTCGTTGTTTTCTTCATAAAAGTGGTCCTTGATCCAACCACCATCTTCGTAATTTCCATTGTCCTGATAATGTTGAACAACAAAATTGTCACCATGGTGGTAACCATCTGGGCTGAAAGTGTTGGCGACATTCTCATCAATAGTCGGTAGGACATACAAGTGAGCATTGCTATCCTGGGTGTCATAGGCTACGTAATAAAACTGCCCACCCAGCATTTCCAGCATTGTTATTGTTATGGCAGACATTCACATTATGTCCGTCCAATAGGATCGGCAAGCTCTCTATCATCGTCGGTCGCCAGTTGTATGAATTTCAAATAGATGAACTACAGCAACGGGCGGGTTTTCAGAATGAAGGCAGTTTACGAATGGCCTCGAAATTTCTATTTGTGCCATTTTTGAAATTTAAAAATTGGCTAAAATGTATTTATTTGCAACGTATTAAAAACACTGCTCAATAACTTCTTAATTTAGTGATTCAAATTCGAACATTTCAACCTAAAAAATGGAGTTTTGTTGTAAATCTTGGAGTTTTCATCTGCATTTGTTAATAAAGATTTTTTTATCTTTAGTCAGCACATTGTACATTCCTCAGATATGTTGTTTGTTTTAAGAAAGATATGAAGATGTTTTTGCTTTAAATTTTGAAAAATTAAATTTTGGCTGAATGCGTCAATAATTTAGTTACTAAATATCGATTTTAAGCTAACATTAATTGAGTCGTCGTTGTAAATAAATCTGGAAAGTCAACTTTTCAAAAACTACTGCAACGGGCGAGTTTTCCGCAGGAAGGCAGTTTGCAAACGGTCTCCAAAATTTTTTTGGTGCCATTTTTCTAATTAAAAAATTTACTAAAATTTATCAAATTGCAACGTTTAAAAAAATACCATGCTTGACTTACTGATTCAAATTCGTACAGTACAGCTCATCAATTGAATGGAGTTTAATAACTTTTGTTGTAAAACTTCATGTTGACGAAGCGATGTTTTAATTTTGAAAAATTAAATTTTGGCAAAATTCGTCAAGAATTTAGTTAATAAATATTGACTTTAGAGTTAATTAGAGTTGCTCTTGGTCGAAAAGTGTTTTTAAACGAGAAACAAATTGCGTTTAAATCATTACATGTTGAAAAACAACGACGAATGATTGAATGAAATCATAATATAACAGTGAGTCATTTGTTTGTATTTGATAAGTATGATACCACGTGATTAAGTTTTTCCTGTTGATTATTTGAAAAATACAAAAGATATATAAAACAGTATACTGCTACAGCCTAAATGCTTGATATTATTTCGCCATCGAGTTTATTAATTGAGAATGTAAAAATTCTTTTTATAATTGAATAATTGCAAAGTTTTCATTCAAGAGGTTAAACAAAAAGTTATTTACACATATATACATAAATAATATTCAATTCATCATTTTCGTTGTGCTTGCCAACTTTTTCAAAACTCCCTCCATATTTTTGGTGGCCTTATTCCCATGATTGTAAATGGAAAGTATTCTTCTCTACGTTTTCTTTTACGTCCATTGGAAACTCCAGTTCCAGTTGCTGATTGATCATTACTGTTGTTGATGTAGTCGTGATCGTCACCATCATCATCGTCATTTTCATCATCATCACATTGATCATCATCATTCTCATCATTACTCGCTATGTCATCTTCAGCCTTGTGATCGTCGTCATTCTCCTCATCATCTTCCTCATCATCTTTTTCATCATTAGTGTAATCATTCCCACCATCATCAGCATCATCACTGTGATCATCATTGTTGTTGATATTTTCGTGATTGTCACCATCATCCTCACCATACCCATTTTCATCATCATCCTCATCAGACTTGTCATCTTCAGTGTTATCATCATAACAACATTGATCATCATCATTCTCATCATTACTGTCTATGTCATCATCATTGTCATCATCTTCATGATTATTATCAATACTAATGTTATTCACATCATTATTATTCTCATCATATTCATCATTATAAGCATTGTTAAAGTTGTTCTCGTCATCATCATCATCATTCCTTTCATCAGTAGTGTAATCACCATCATTATCATGATAAGCATTGTTACCATTATTTTCATCATCTTCATCATCATCATCATCATATTCATTGTCACCATCTTCGTGATCATTAGCATAGCTAAAGTTACTCTCATCGTGATAATATGCGTTGTTAAAATGATAATGTTGATCAACATCTAGGCCGATGATATTGTTGTCGACATTTTCATAGTCGTTCGGGTGGATGAGATTGATCTGGCCATTTCCGTAAGCATTCACATTATTGTTCATATTAAAGTGGCTGATGTTATAATTTTCCTGTGCGTTGTTGTTGTCATAATAAAAATGTTCATCATGGAATCCAAGACTGTCGGTGGAATTGTAGTCCTAGTAGACATTCTCATAGCCAATAATATCGGTGAGATTTATATTGTCATCCCCATCATCGTCAGTTGCATCAACTTTAAACGGATTAACTACTGCTACAGGCCGGTTTTCTTCAGGAAGGCAGTTTGCGAACGGACTCCAAATTTTTTTTGGTGCCATTTTTCAAATTTAAAAAATTTACTTGAATTTATTAAATTTCAACGTTTAGAAAAATACAACGCTTTAATTACTGATTCAAATTCGTACAGCTCAATTGGATGAATGGGTTAGTTTATGTTACCGTTTTAAACTTTATATTGACGAAGCAATTTATAACTTCTTTGTTGTTAATCCGGCAGTCGTCTTTGTGACATTCTTCTGCATTTGTAATTATTGATATTTATGTATAGTTCGCAACATCCTATATTATTTCGATATGTGTTCTTTGTAAGAAAGATATGAAGATGAATTTTTTAATTTTGAAAAAAAATTTGGTAAAATTCATCAAGAATTTAGTTAATAAATATTGATTTTAAGTGTGTATTAATTGAATCGTCGCAAATAATTTTGTATTATAAGATTTTTGAAATCCAAGTTTGGTTTGCAATACTTTTTTAATAAATAATTCGAAAAATGATAATGTAAAAAGAGGCCGTCCATAAAGGATGTCACGCTTTAAAGGGGGAGGGTGTCCAAATATTTGTGACGAGGAGGAGGAGGGTATACGAAAGTGTGACGTCCCTTTTTTTTAATTTTCCAAATCTATTTGATAGTTTTATGTTGAAAAATAAAATAGCCCTTCCAATCAGCTTGTCCCAGTTTTCACAGCTCCCATATGATGCATTTTGCCTTTCTGTTCAAGGTTGTATTAAAAACCGCATCTGCGAAATGTGTGGGTTGTAAATGCTTTAATTCTGATGGAAAAAAGACTTCATGTTATTCACAAAAAATCTTCATTTCAGAATAATAAAGTTAGACCAGTCGGAGTTGCTGCTGGACGTCAGAGGGAACTTATGGCAGTAATTGCATTCGAAGAAAACGAAGATGTTGAATGGCTGAATGAAGATGACGTGGACACTACCAACATTGAGTTGCCAAATATACCAAAAGAAGAAAGCCCATGGATTCCGTTGCGGTTTCAGTTTCACAGCACCTGGCCAGCCTTTGGGGAGGAAAGCAATTCGTGATCTTTCATATTAATTCGTTATATTTTAACTGCGGTAAAGCATTTAGATATCAAACTATCGTCATATAAACTTGTCATTCGTTATTTTGATGTCAATAAAAAATGAAATGCATGGAACAATTACATTGTTTAATGACTCTTCGCTAAGAGATGGGGGGTGTGGGTAAAGTTTTGTGACATGTTTATCTTTGGGGGGTTGGTCGATTTGTGACAGTTTGTGACACGGGGGAGGGGGGTCAAAAAAAAGTTTAAAAAGCGTGACATCCTTTATGGACACCCCCTTATTTTATTATTCTTTTTTGTTTTAATTACTTGTCATAGTTAGTCATACTATGTCTGTGGATTTAAAATCAGATGATTTTGGGCAGTTTTTTAAAAATAAAGTAGATACAATTCTTGAAACAACGACACATGCCTATGAACCTATTCAACCGGCGCATCTTGGCAATAAAATGATAACCTTGACTGCCAAATTTGCATGCCATCAATTCCTTGGCAGCGGCAAGTTTACTACAGTCCATCCATTTCTCCTTTGTCGCCCTTTCTGGCATTTCCTCTTAAAAGAGGAACATTGGAAAAAAGGGAAAAAAATTTAAAAATAAATTTAAAATTTGTACCACAACAGTAGTACAATCAGACCTGAGACCAACTGCAATACCTGCAATACCGATCTTACAGCCTGCACAGGTGAAAAATCTAACTGAATGTTCTGTTTGTAAATAAACAAACTCAACACGAACTGTACAGAGAGTTAGAAGACCTGCACAAAAAAGTAATATAGGGTGCCACGTTCGTGTGTGTGTGCTGTGTACATGTGTGTGTGTGTGTATTGCACCATGATGCGTATGGTGACGTGTGTCTATTGTTTATGTATGAATCTATGTGAAGGAGTTGGGCATGAAGAATGCATTCTACAGGAAGAAGTTGCCACTGGCGATGCAGGTCATACTTCTATTGTTGACTGGCGACAGATATAGAACTGCACATTTAGACAATTGTAAACTATCCTTTAAAATTTATTTGTATTTGAAAACTGATTGGAATTACATGGAAAAATTCAAATTAAATTCAAAAATTCCAATCTCGAAAAAAATAAAATAACCTTTGAGAAACTCTCAACATTTGCAGCCAAATTATCCAAAAAATTTAGGAAAAGAATCAGTTTTTTAAGAATTATCGAGTAAAATATCGAGCAAATAAAATACGTCTCTAATTAACTAACGCGGAACATGCTGTAGAGTTTTGAAGTTTTTATGTTAAAATTATCATGCCCATGCACCTATTGAATTGTTTTGTTTTAAATTGTTTTAAATACATGCATGCTCAGACAAGTAACATTTAATTAAAACCATTAAAAACGTTGAAAGATTTTTTAGGTCAAATATATTGCAACATTAACAAATATTGTTCCAAGACGGTTACTGAAAGAACAACACAGTTTCTTCTTGAGGAAATTCTTTCTCTTTCTGTGAACACGCTAGCTCAACGTTAAATAACTCGATATTGTTCGTGTACATAAAATAATGAGAGATGACTTTAATTGGCGACTTACGTGTGTTGAGTATTAGTTTGTGTTTAAGATGTCATAAAGTTTAATGATCGAACGAGGAACGACTCACCCATTATTGTTAATAATATTTTTATTGTTTGATTGCAACTATATATATTTTAATGAAGTAAAATAACAAAACTTAAAACTGAGAATTAAAATATAAAGAGTAACGCAAATAATAATGTGTAAAAGTGTATGAGTAGTGCGTAATAGCTCTTAGCGTTTTAAAGAGATAACTAACTTAACTAAGATATTAGAAACTCTCACCTTAACTCTCTTTAACTTATGTGCTCGCCTTTTATATACCAGGAGACCTCGCTCCCTAGAGATTAACTATCAATAGTTGTCTAATTCCTTCTAATCAGTCAGTCCCTATTGTATGTCACCCCATTCTTATTGTACAAAGTATTATAGGCTCTGATCAATTATACGTTAGGGTTATATTATCTTATATTAAGCTGCTGTAAATTTGCTGTCTCGCGTGAACTAATTTGATAACTTAACTATCATTATAATTGCATACCTACTTTAACGCATATCTATATGCAACCTATATCTACTTATACCTCCTAACCTAAATTATCATCTACATAATAATATCTCAATCAAAAATTAATCATAAACCAATGTTTAATCAAATATCATGTACAAACAATAAATTACAGTTTTTATATAGCAACAGTTCAAAAAAGAAAATAGAATCATATGCAATCTTTTTCATCAGCACAAAATTTTCTCAGAAACTCTCTTGAGTTGATGTCTGCCTGTGATAAAAAAGTTATATCCATTTTTATAATAAGGAGACATTTGATGTCAAACAAAACCTAATACTTAAAACAAATGAAAGAAATTAAAACAATAAAAAATTACTTAAACCTTACCAATCTGATTGGTTCAGGAATTCTACAGACACAACACAGCTTGACTAGATTGATTGCTGTTTGTAATGAGATTTTATGGCCCACAGATATGTAAACAGGATTTCTTGAGTCAACTCCACTTCTTAGAGCCTTAAAGTTTTAAATTTTTTTATTAATTATTTATTAAACGAATAAACTTTTACAAATTTCTCAAGATTATGAAACTTTTAAATGGTATTTTAACTAATGTTGCAAATGTTATAAATGTTTTGAAAAATTTCATACAATTCCAAGAACATTTCCACTGGATGATTCTAACATAATGCTATCTCCACAGTTTTGCATGTTTTCAATCTAAAATTGAAAATTTATAAAAGAAAAATAATAAAGAAACAAATCACCAAACAGAAATTTGAAAAACCTTTTTTCTGAGAGAATTATTCTTCTCAATACCATCAACATTGCTGAGCTTCTTTGCAACACCAATTGTTGGCAGGTCCAACATGACACCAATGTGACAGGCCAAACCAAAATCTTCAAAAAGAATTTATAGAAGTGTTTTGCGTGACAGAGTTTTGTTCCATTATTAGCTAGGAGATCAATTGCATCATACACAAAGTCTACACCATAGAAACCTAAGTTAAACTGATATGCATTAATAATAATAGAAAAGTTTCCTTAAATATGTTATGAAACAAAATTCTATTCTTACCTATCAGAAACTCACATACACACAAAATCACAAACTGCAAGAATTAAATAAACAAAAAACCATTAAATATAACAGCAAACAAAAAATAAGCAAACTTTTTTTGTGCAGCACACCATTGCCATCAACCATAAGGCACAAGGGCCTGAAATCAGGGTGGGCCTCCATAAATGATCTCATCCTTCCAACATAAAATTCTGCCTCTCGAAAAGCTAAATAGCCAGAAACATAAGGGACTGTTATTTTTATCATTGTTGTTTCTTCATACACCACCTTCACATGTGGTAAAAATACTGTTTAGCCAATAAAAATTATCTTAATAATTCAAATATATAAAATTAATAAAGTAGCCATACCTCTAAATATGGCAAACTCAATACAGTTAATCCAACACATGCATCTTCAGTGTTATCCTTAATGAATGAGATATCGAGACCAATTATGTATGGTAGTTTTTTATCATTGCAATCAATGTTGTCTGTATGTGTTGTGTTCTCAGGCAGTTTAATGCTGCCTTTGAATTTAAATTTCTTTTTAAATTTTAAAAATGTTATCTTGTCTCTTTGGTAGCATAATTGGTGTATGGAATTATTCAAAAATGTCTGCCATTCTTCACAATCTTCTAACCGACATTTGGATTTTAAATTATTCTGCTGTCTGCGAAAAAGCAAAAAAATGATTACTAAAAATTTCATCATCATATTAATTCACACAACATGATTTTACGTGTTGAAAAAGATACAGAAAACTAATTTTAAAAGATAATTTTGCAAAAAAAATTCATGAAACCTACTTACTCATCCCAGCTTTTTATAATGTTTTCATAGTTGTCCATCTCTAAATAAATAAATTATTACACTGTCAGCATCATGTTTATTAAATTTACAATTTATTTTATTACAATTATATGATATTATATTATATTATGTAATTAATGTAGGAGGGGTACTTGGATATGCTATGATTGCCATCTTATGTCCTACACTTACCTATATTCTAAAAAAATCTATAACCATGCTTGTCTACCTTATTATAAATAAGCTTATCCATTAAAATTAATATATTGTAAATTTCTTATGGCTTATGTGGACTGTGTATTTATTAAATTAAAACAACTTGATTCATTAAATCTAAATGTAAATCCGTGATGACGTTGATGATGATTATGATCTCGATACAAATCAAAACTTTTTATATCATTAAAATTAAATAATTATTGTTAGAATTAAAAAGTTGAAATAACTGCTTAACATTCTTAATCAGAATCCTACACCTCTGATTTTTGCATACCTGGCAGAGAAACTAACGCAAAAGAATAAAAAAAAAACACCATCAAGTAAATAATCAATAATTGAATAATCAATAATCAATAAAATAATGGTTTAACCTGAACTGAACAAATTAGTCGAATGCATAGCTAGCGCCATCTTTAAAAGCAGCAATCATCTCAATTATCTAAATCTAAAGTTTAGATTTCATCATCTCAACTATCTCAACTCAATCATCTTCTACGAGTTAAAATTTTGTCAACCGGGTAGGTACGTTATGAGCACGAGTCAGTGTATACAATACAGGCTCCTAACACGACTTATTTATTTTCGTAACGATTTCCTCCTTCCTTGTTGATGTTATTGAAACTAGGTAAGGTCGATTAAACATGCGATGCAGTCTAAATATTATATTAAATGCTAAAATATTAGAATATATATATATATATATATATATATATATATATATATATATATATATATATATATATATATATATATATGTTGGTAGTAGACCATAATTCATACAATATTCTATAAATTCTACCGAATGTTTGGCGTTAATATGTTTGTAGTTCGTTTTTTCAATTTTTCTCACTAAAGTTTTTTGGTGAACGTTTAGTTTATTTAAATTCAAAATAAACTTATTTTCCAAATTCATGCTGCAAAGCATATAAGGCAAAAAAATAGTGACAAAGAAGAATATGATGCTATCGATGAAAAAAAGGAGACCAAAGAAGAAATAGTGACAAAGAAGAATATGATCAATCAATCAATCAATCAATCAATCAATCAATCAATCAATCAATTAGCTTATAAAGCGCTATTTCCGCGATGTTCAACAGCGCTCCTCAATGAATTTTGAAAACAGATTGGTCTTGAGATCCGCTCTGAACTTCGCAAGTGATGGAAAAGTAGTTAGAGAAGTAGGTAGAGAGTTCCAGAGAAAAGGACCAGAAAAAGCAAAAGCAGATTTGGCAAAAGAGTGTTTAACACGAGTTAAGAAAAAGCGAAAAGAAAAAGACGATCGTAAACCGGGGCGTAAAGGTTCAATTAATATATCTGATAAATACGTAGGAAATAATTTAGATTGAAACTTATACATGAACGTGCAAATTTTAAAAATTATTCTATATTTTATAGGTAGCCAGTGCAAGAGAACAAGATATGGAGATATATGAGAAAAGAAAGGGGCACGAGCAACTAGACAAGCAGCAGAGTTAAAAGCTTTACTTAAAGGATAGAGTATAGAGTCAGGAAGACCATAGTAGAGCGAGTTACAATAATCAATCCTAGATAAGACTAACGAAGTAACAAGAAGGAGAAGAGTAGGATCATCAAGAAAAGGCAAAAGTTTTTTTATTCTACGTAGATGAAAGTAAGAGCTTCTAGCAACACTATTAATCTGAAAAGAGAGAGATATAGTAGAATCAAAGATAAAACCTAGACTACGAAACTTATGAGAGACATCAAGAGTTTTAGAATCAGGTAAAATAATAGGAGGAATAGTAATTGAGTGTTTAGATTTATTAAAACAAATTAATTCAAACTTAGAAGGATTAAGTTTAAGACACATAGAGTCAGACCAAGCAATAATCGAAGAAAGACATAGAGATAAATTATGAAGAACACTATTGAGATTAGATGGAGGAAAAGAAGTATAAATATAAGAATCATTAGCATATAGTTGACTAAAGAAAGAAAAATTATTAATAATACGAGGTAGTTCAGAAGTATAGAGTATAAATAGAAGAGGGCCAAGGATAAAACCCTGAGGTACCCCGAAAGTAAGAGTAGAGGAGTTAGAAGTAGAATTATTGAGAACAACAGAAGAAAAACGATTACAGAGATAAGAAGAAAACCAAGATAGACTAGAATCAGTAATATTAAAAGAAAGATGCAGCAGTCTCAAGAGAATAGTATGGTCAACAGTATCAAAAGCTGAAGAAAAGTCAAGAGCAAGAAGAAGAGTAAGATTACTATTGTCACTAAATACACAATATCATTGTGTATTTTACTATGATGCTATCGACAAAGAAAAGGAGACCAAAAAAGATGACCAGCCAATAAAGAAACCTGACACCTAATTTTCATTTAAATTCACTTTGACGAAGTCAATCTCCATTTTGACAAAGTCAATATTTCCTTATATAAACAGCAGAAAGCACTGATGATGATTCATTCGGAATTGAAATATGGCCTTATTTGCAGCATGATTTCGGAAAATAAGTTTATTTTGAATTTTAATAAACAAACGTTCACCAAAAAACTTTAGTGAGAAAAATTGAAAAAACGAATATATATATATATATATATATATATATATATATATATATATATACATACATACATACATATATATATATATATAAATCGATCACTATATATTAAACACAGCTGATATGTTCAATATCATCAAAAAATTCGAATTTAAATACCACGCTTTTGCTGACGATGACAATTGCACCAATTTGTTGTAAAACAACGACATTTGATAATTTAGTTCACAGATTTGCCTGCTGTGCTAAAAATTAAATTAAATGGATGATAAACAACAGATTTAAGCTAAACAAGAGTAAAACTCAGCTTCTGCTTGTCGAAACCTGGTAACAATAGCAAATGATTCGTGTCAGCTCAACAAAAATATCTAAATCAGTTATCCAGTTTTATTCATCTGTCAATAATTTATGAATCACGTTCGATATGTCTATGGATCATCATGTCAAAAAATTGAACAAGGAATGTTATTTTCAATTACGAAGGCTTAGACAGATCAGAACTTTGCTTAATGAGGATACATTATAATATTTAGTTCACGCGTTTATTTATTCTAAGCTAGACTGCTGTAATAGTGTTTTCTATGGAACTTTCAATAAAATCATATACCAACTACAGTCAATTCAAAATCGAGCAGCCAAAATAGTTACTGGTGGGTTTGACCATGTTAGTAATAATATATTGAACCTGCACTGGATGACTTTTAGGCAGGCATGCTAATTGCATGCATGTTATCTGCTAATTAAACAGCATATATTGCATATGCATGCAGGCTTGCTCTGCCTTTTCTCTTTAATTTATCTTGAAGTTTATCTTTAGTTTATCTCTTTAATTTAACGTGTGTATAATTGGCATCGAAGATTGCGTATTAAATTATATAGGTCGGTCGTTCTGCCTGGGTTCAGTCTCATGAAATTTGGATGCAGGAAGTTTCAGGTTTGTTCGTTAATGTTTAGGCTTTAATTTTCTTAAGTTTAAGAAAGTTGAGAGTGAAAATAACCAGTAAAACACAAACCAACGAAGGCTTTAGTTTAGATTCATTTGCAAAAGATACCTAGTTTACTTTTACTGTTTTTCAATCACTAGGACTACTACTAGTAGACTATCTCTAGCTAGCTAGACTAGCCTAGACCCTAGATCATTCATTCATTTCATAAATCAAAATTCAAATAAAAATAAATTCATAGCCCAATTTTAAAGTAAAAATTATCATTTTCTTAAATCTTAGTTAAAATTAACATTTTTCTTTTTAGTTCTACACATATGACTTCATATGACATGTATCATAATAATTATAAATAAATATTATTTTTTATTCAGAGTACTGCTGCACATGCACCATATATAATATATTATATCTCCACTACACAACATTACATTACTGCAACTACTACATACTACATGACTGCAACTTGCACACAGTTTTAAGTTTTTTTAAGGTTGGTTTTTTTATATTATTTTTTATATTATATTGTTTTTTTTTTAGTTTTTTAGTAGTTTTTTTTAGTTTTTTATATTATTTTTTATATTATATTATTATTTAATAAATTTATTAAAAGTATTAAAAATTAACCTATTAACAACTCATGAAATTTATATTAAGTCTTGCATAAAAATATTGATAGCATATGATATAATGTATTATATATCGATAAAAAATTAAAATTCTATTAATATATAAAAATAAATTAATACTAATATTATATTAATTATTAACAACTAATGAAATTTAGTATGCTGTGATAATACATGTAAATAATTTATTTATTGATAGTAATGGATGACTTACCTGACTTACCGAGCAATATTGCTAAGACCTGGGGGGCCAGGACTCTGAGATCAAGGAAGTACTCACTTGAAAGTATTGATGGCAAGAAAAGAGAGGTGTCAGGGATAAATTTAGATCTGGTGGATATTGATGAAAGCGAAGATGTTCGGAGTAGAGCTACCAGTATGAAAAATAAAAGGATACTTTTGTAATTTCAAAAATTTTTATTCATATTTTATTTGTTTTCATTATTTTTTGATAATTAATTTTTTCAAACAGTAACCGGTTTAAGGAAAGAACTTTGTTGAAAAAAGGGTTTAATGATGCAATGTTTAATCAACTCACTAAAACAGTTGAGTCATTTTATATAATTTATATCAAATTTAAATTAATACACATTTAGGCTTATAAATAATTAATTAAATAAATAATAAAAATTAATTATTTAATTGAGTAAATAAATTATTAGCATGAAATTTTATCTTGGCTAATTGAAACTTTCCTCCATTAAATAAATCTTGTTGTAATGTTAAAAACGTATTGATGTGACCCATGTTGCTATAATAAATGTAACCAATTTATGCACAGATGAATTCGGTCTATGTATAAACCTTTGATAACACCGAATCAATTAGTATTAGAACCAGCATAAGTTTTTATCAGGTTTTAAAGAAAGTTTATTTTGAAGAAGGTTTCTACCAGTCAGTACGATGTCTGGAGAGCTAGATTTATTATCACTGTACAAACTTTTGAGGAATATCCGAATGTACTTGCATGGTAAATAAAATGATAAGTGAGACGATCATGTCCCATGTGGTAGCAAAAAAAGAAAAATGTAGAAACCTCAAATTAGGGCGAAGATGCTAAATTATGTTCTGAGGATTATTTTGTTTTTTGTTGAACCTTTTCTGTATTGACCAGTTTAATAACTATTTGTATTTAATTTAGAATAACGATATCTTTTATAACAGTTTAGAAAGAAATATGATCAGCTGGTCATCAAGAAGTTTGTCTCAGAAGTTAATTTTATTGACAAAATAATGAGAATAGTTGAAGGTTACTATTTATATTTATATATATTTAATGCAACACTATTTCACGGTGTGGGTCTGTTGGTTGTTTTTTATTTCAATTAATTTCAATTATTTTCACAGGAAAGTATGGATTCACAATATTTTCATTTTTCAGTTTTGTGTGGTGGCTTTTTCTGGTGAATTTGTTCACCACAGCATTGATCGTTCTATTTCTCATTCTGCCACAATCTCTCATGTCCTCTAGAAACTTTCTGGAAGACGACATGTGCAAAAATGCCAGCTCCTGTTAGCACTCGAATGCTTTATACTTTTGCAATTGAATTGCAACCTATATTTTAACTCTAAGTTTATACTTATTTTTGAGTTTTTTTTTTATAAAAGTTCTTATTTGAATTTATTTTGGTTTAATATGTATCTAGCTTGCTAAGCTAATTTAAATGCGTGTGTGAAGTGTGAGGGTGATTTGATTGCACGTGTGCATGTGCTACAAATGAATGCTGCCTGTGTCAGAGGATCTTTTATAAGAAATATACATTTGCGATAAAAAGATTTTACATTTGAATCAGAAGTTTGATCATGAACCCTGTTACAACTCTCAATTATAACCATATTTATATATGTTTCTTGTTATTATAAACAGATGAATGCAAGAACTCATGTCTGACTATGAATATGACAATAGGTAATTAACACACGCACACACACTCACAGCTGAATTTATTGAAACTTCAATTTAAAGTAATTTTTTTATGCAAAATAAATAAATATAAATGAATAAATATAATAGTTCTTATTTTAACCAAACCAGAGCAGCCTATGAAGCCCTGCTTGGACTTTAGAACGTGTTACTATACAGAACAGTATGAGAAAAAGATTGAAGCAAACTCCAACACATCTCAGTTGTGGGCAGTTGTCAGTTTCTTGCAAGGAGCTGTAGGATTTTTTCTTAAATTTTTGTGTTAATATTGTCACGACGAAACTGATGTTATATTTTCTAATATCTCCTCATGTATTATATCACTATTGAGTTTTTAACGATTGAATTGCTCGCCTTCTGCTAGCTAAGTAAGCCCGCCACCAATTACGTGTGTATTGAAAAATTAAATGTCAATCAAGAAGGGGTCACTTTTAATGAGTGACGATGAAGAAGGGGTCACTTTTAATGAGTGACGATGAAGAAGGGGTCACTTTTAATGAGTGACGATGAAGAAGGGGTCACTTTTAATGAGTGACGATGAAGAAGGGGTCACTTTTAATGAGTGACGATGAAGAAGGGTTCACTTTTAATGAGTGACGATGAAGAAGGGGTCACTTTTAATGCGATGACGGCAGCAGACAGACGTTATAACATTCTTCGATGTACATGGCTGAATGTTATGTAGACGAAGAGTGAGTTGATGAATGCAACTGATGAAGGCATTCCATCGACTGACCACTGAGACTGACGATAATAGTAATAAAACTGCACCTCGTGATGGGAACATCATCCCTTGTGTAGTTGAATCAGGGAACTGTTACATTTCTACTTCCATTTGAAACTTTTCTTTGTTTTTCAATCATCTGAACTTCTCAATCAAATGAATGTTGACGATGCAGGGATGGATGGAGCGAACGTTCTTCTTCATCGGGAGTTACACAAATAAAAGTTCCCCAATTTTTTACAACATGGAAGTGGCAGTGCTATTGGTTGTCGCCATCTACTTTCTTCTTTTTCTCGTTTCTATGGTCTACAGGCGAGTTTGAATTCTTTGTGGCGTGTTGGTGGTTGTGTTGTGGCGTGTTGGTGGTTTTGTTGCGTTGGTGGTTGGTGGTTGGTGGTTTTGTAAGTCTGCGTTGGTGGTTTTTTGTGATATTGGCAGTTTGAATGTTAGTTTTCTAAATCTTTCACGATTGAGTGACCTGTTCACCATGCTGACCAGACTAGCGACTAATGAGTGACCTACTCGCCCAATGAATATCACTCTACAACATATTATACGTGTCATCAGCTCATCATCTCTCATTCGACAACGAATGATGTCAGACAAGAAGCTTGTACAATTGTCAGGGGACACGTTTCCTTCCTTCCTATTAGCTGACAAAGTTTTTAGTGGGTGGGACTTCACAATAGCAGAAACTTCGAGGGCAATCAGCAAGAAATACCAACTCAAAACATTTTTCACTGTTAGTCCTCTTTCTTCGTCTAAGAAAATTATGTTCATCTCAGAGGCTTCCATGTCAGATTGATTCAGATTTATACTATGGTGAACATAAAATTTTTATTTTAAAAAATATAACTGTACAAATGTTGATGTTTCGAACAACTAAGGATATGTACATAGAGTACACAAAGTTTGGCATGAAGAAGCCACTACTGCTGGCCAGGTTGAGGCTGTGGGCGGTGCGGCTGGCCATCAACGTCATCGTCGTCGCCCTCATCGTCGCCTCTCTCGCCGCCATCGTCATTTCAATCACTAAGCAGGAACAGGTTGCTGGCGTTTCATTATCAAATTATTTTCTTCGTCACGGCAATCATAAATTTTTTGTTCTTCAACATTTCAAATGCACTCCACACACACACACACGTCCTCGTCCGTCCATTCAGTTTCCAGCTCTCGAGCAAGTTCAGCAGCATTCCACGTCGTGTTCATTCCCTTCAGAGCCTTCTGTTTCAGTTTCATGTATCTATCCTCTCCTTAGTATCCTCTCTTTAGTATCCTCTCCTTAGTATCCTCTCCTTAGTATCATCTCCTTAGTATCATCTCCTTAGTATCCTCTCCTTAGTATCCTCTCCTTCTTAGTATCCTCTCCTTAGTATCCTCTCCTTCTTAGTATCCTCTCCTTCTTAGTATCCTCTCCTTAGTATCCTCTCCTTCTTAGTATCCTCTCCTTAGTATCCTCTCCATAGTATCCTCTCCTTAGTATCCTCTCCTTAGTATCCTCTCCTTAGTATCCTCTCCTTAATATCCTCTCCTTAGTATCCTCTCCTTTCATCCACTAGGAACGTCCTGGCTCTTTCTTTTCTTCTTTTAATCACGTGATGTTGAACTGTGTGAAGCATGTTTTTTATAAGTTTTATTCAGGAAAATTAGAGTGTGTTAATTACACATAGCCTTGCTGCCTGCTTCCAACAAGTCCTTCCTCCCTCCTGCCTCTTGCTGGCTTAGCTCTTCATTTAATATCTGGCGAGTTCAACTTTTCCAGCGCTCGTGATGGTAATATTTTCAAGATGGGTTCAACAGTACAAATCTTCTTTTAATGATGATGATGATAATAATAATAATGATAATAAAAATAATAATAATAATGATGATGATGGCAATGATGGTGGTGATGATACTGATAATGGATGGTATATTGAATTTGTTATAGATAGTTCAATATTATTTGTGTGCCGTGCAGATAATGACGGACGACGTGAAGAGGAACCAGGCTCTGAAGCTGCTGTGCTCCTTCACCCCCGCTCTGACTGTCGCCTTTCTCACCACCCTCATGCCATTCATCTTCTCCAAGCTGGTCACCAGGGAAAAATATTCGGCCGAGAACAAAGTCAACATGGTCATAATCAGGTCGGTGAGTGAGGCTGGTTGCGTTCCATTTAAAGTTTCACCCCTTCAAAGTTTCACCACGCGCAATCACTTCATCCGCTGAGTCTGTCCATTTTCTCCTTTCGTGTTCTGCGAATGGCTGAATGATGTTTGAAACAGGTCCATCTCATTATACCTGGCCTCCGTCATCACGTTGGTCGTAAGTATCGCTGGTCGCATGGTCTGCGATCACCAGCCGTGTGACCGGGACATCCTGGTCAGTCGGTATTTTCATATTTTTACCGATTTCGTTTTTAAAATTTCTTCTATATTATCTGTTATTTATCAAACTGTTCGAGTAGTGTGTGAGTTAGTAACGAAACCTCCTAACGAGCCAACGATCATTCTGATTTGATTGATACATTGCATGCCTTAATTTCTGTATCAGTCTGTCGCAGATTAAATAAGCATCATGCTATATTTTACGGGCGGCAATTCTCTATGATGGTCATTGACAACGTTATCAGTTATTTATAAATGAATTGAAGTGCTGGGAGACTTACATCGGCCAGGAGCTGTACAAGTTGAGCCTGGTTGACATATGCATAGAGATAGTAGGCTTCCTCTTGCAATGCGTCAGGAAGTAAGTTTTTTTTCTTTTGTCATCTTTCTGCTTTGACAATCTCTGGCTTTATAAATACTTTATATTTATAAATAAATGAATTTAATGAAAAAATGTCACTTGGGAGATATGATTGACACATATCGATTTTACTGTATAAAGACGCCTTTATGTTACGTATCCTAACAATCGGCTGTGCAAGTTGGTTGGGAACCAGACGTTCAACGTTCCAAAGAACATCATTGAATTCATCTACATGCAAGCTATGTGCTGGTTGGCTGTCGGTTTCAACTCAAACACTGTTCAGCCTTGTTGCGCTGCTGTGATTGTGTTGTAATTGTGTTGCATGTTGTTGTTGTGTTGCATGTTGTTGTTGTGTTGCATGTTGTTGTTGTGTTACATGTTGTTGTGGTGTTGCACGTTGTCTAACGAATTCAGATAGTACACATATTTTCTTCAAATCAAGTTCCACATATCAGATTATGTTTTATATTAATTTTATGCATCATCTGTCATTAAATTGTCATCAACTGTTGAGTGGAATCAGCTCGATCGATGACACGACGATAACGTGTGGTCGTAGTCGTAGACAGGCGAGCGCCACTACAACACTGCTCACAGCACACTGACTAACAACAACACACAGGCTGGGCATCCTTGTGGCTCCTGGCCTTTCCATAATGAACACCTTCAAGATTTTACTACTCTTCTTTCTTAAATTTGTAAGTTGTTTTTTTGTGTTATCGATTTTTAACCATTAGCTGTATTTTAATTTTTATTGAAAACATTTAAATCATTGGATATGACAGCTGACGCTGATTTGGAACTGCAGACCGAAGGAGGAGAAGCGAGCTTCGAAGACCAACTACTTCTTCGTCATCAACCTCCTGGCAACTTTCTTCATATGCGCTTGCTTCAACGCATTTGTCGTTGGGAGGTAATATTTCTTTCTTTCGTTTGTCTCCCACCTCTTCGTTGTTTTCTTGCCATGCATGTTTGTTTGGTTGAACAAATTAGCTGAGCAGATAATTAAGGTTAGTTGCACACGACTGCATGCTGTAACTGAGAGTGTCGTATCGTATCTTTACAAATTTCCATGTTAATGAAGTTACTTATGATTTGTTACATTGAAAGAGGGCAATTGTTCCGAAGCGTACTTACGACATGCAGTGGTATCACGTTGAATGAGGCGTTGCCAACATTTGATTTGATGAGGTTTCGTTAAGGGATGCTTCATAGAGTTTAGAACGAACCGATGGTATGTTGAGATGAATACGTGGATGACGTCACTTCAAAATGAACCTACCATAGCAGCATGACAACCATCAGTTAATGAAATATAAATCACCGATATCAGAGTTCATCTTATAACTATGGTGTAGACGTTGAACGAGGGGTGGTTTCAATGAATATTTAGAATAATGAACTTTAAAAAGTTGATACCTACTAGTCAGTGGACAATGAATAGTAATAAATAGTTCAGCAAATTTATACAGTTGAGATACGTGTTTCTTTTTTATAAATTTTGTGAGCTTCTTTGGTTAGGGTAATTTTGTAATTTTGGTAATAATGACTTGATGAGGAGTCTTCGCGATTATTAATGAATAACATGGTGGCCTGACACGCGACGATGACGTCAACTAAAGGGTCCTGCCCTCTCCGTCGTGCGGGCCGTACAGGGAGTACAGCAGGCCGGATGACTTCATGAGTCGTCGCATCAGTTCCGGCATCGATGACTACCTCAGTGCTCCGCTCAGAACCCTCGTCCTCTTCTTCGGCTCCTGGATGTTCTTCATCGTCGTCGCCATCATTCTCGGGTTAGCTCACCTCACCTCACTAATTCTTCAAAGCTGTCTAACATTCTGCACTTATTACGCTGGATTTATTATAAATTTATAATTCGTTTAAATACAATTTTCGTACTAACAAATTCGATTGAACATTTTTTCAAATGGAATAATTTGTTTCACGTGAACATGCTTAATCGCAACTGCAGCACAACTACAATTGATTGCTTCGGTGGCGACTATAACGATTGAACCATTTTTGACTAAGTAAGGTCGATTGCATTGACAGGAGGCATAAAATATGAGCCACGAATGAAATAAACAATGACAACACTTTTGACGACGGTTGATGTTAATATTTGAGTTTTGTTATCGCATGAACAAATAAATGACATCTTCGCTTGCTTATAAAACAAGACGGTCTATAAAAACATCGAATCCATCAACTTGCCCGGCAGATTTGAACTCAACGCAATGCAGCGTTGCACGAAACATTGACGGGACGGTTGGAAGCATTGTAGTCAATGAATTGTTTTGATTCACCTCCATTTTTGTGCACCTGCTATCACGAACCGACGCTGATAAAATTAAAAAATTACATTTGACAGTCTGTCCGTGCTGTATTACCAATCCATCATCGCCGGAAACAAAATGCTGACCAAAAATCTCAGAGACCAGTTATCTTCTGTAAGTTCATTCGTTGAGTATTTCAGTTTTTTACTTGGTCGACGTGCAGAACTCTTCTGGCTCGTCTTAAACGAGCATTTCTTTTGTTCAACAATAGAAATACCATTAAAACAGTCATGTTAAAATTGCAACTGTCTATTTTTTCAGATGCAGAACGACAATCAAATTTATAAGAAAGAATTGCAATCATTGAAGTGAAATGTTACAAAATAATTCCCAAATTCATCACATCTACTCAACACGAAATATGACTAAATGGCCGAAATCTCGATTTTAATTTTTTTATCTACCAGTTGGTTGCTACAGAAAAATTTTTAATGAGAACTTTGAAGCAATAGTTTTTCATTCCCATATTTTTTATGATCAATAAAAACAAGACAAACAAACTTTTCTAAGGAACCAGAACAATTTATTACATAAACGTTAACAAAACAACCACCTAACGATATCACGAAACTTTTTTGGAGGGTAAGTATTTAATGGTGTTAATAAATCCAGAAGTGCAATTGTTGCTAAAAGTACAACATTAACAAATGTTTAAACAAAATTTCAAATATGAATCAGTCATTGAACACAAAAAATATAGTAAAGCTGTACAGAATGATGTTAGTAATTACAAAGTGATAATAATAATAATAATAATGGTGTTTGTTGCTATTGTTCGGTGACAGGTCGATCATCACCTCGCAGCTGTCTGTATTTGGCCATTTCGTTAGGGAAAACTTTGCTAAGTTCAACAACCAGCAGTGACTTGAACTTCTGGTGATTGTATACATTTTAAAAAATATATAAATCATTTGAAAAATAAGATTAGAAATGCAATGAATAACCTTCAAAGCTTCAATCTTCCCCTTAATTTCTTCATTCTTGGCTAAGGACTTCTCCATGCAATCTTTTGTATACAGTTGTGGATTTTTGCCTTCATCTATATACCTTCAATTTGTTAAACTTAATTTACAACTAACTGACAAAAAATAATTTAGATGATAATTTATGTTTCTCAAACTTCCAAGAATAACATAATGTTCTTCGGATGTACCATGTACTTATATGGTACAATTAGAATGTGCTATTTCAAACTTAATACAATCGATAATATAGATGAGGTTGATTTAGACTTGTAATAAAACAAAATTTACTCCATTGAAAAATATTTAATATGTATTGTTACAAATATTAAAATAAGCACAAGTTTCCTAGAAAATTGAAATTACAAGTGTAATGAATGTACTTACTCAAAAACGTCTGATGGGATTTGTACATCTTGCACCAAGGAACGAAGTTTGTCGATTTCTTGCAAGCCAATGACCAGCTGATGCCTGATTGGTGAATTTTTAAATAATTAAAATTAATAGCTATCATTTTTATGTTACCTTATTTACAAGTTATATAGTAAATAGTTATTTAAATTAAGCAGTATTTGCTCTTAACAAAGTGACATCATTAGATATTATTTTTAATATTATTAATATTTTAAACTATTATTTATGTGACTAATTGGTGAATGAATATAACACTAAATTATTAATTAGTAAAATTTTTTTAGAGATGAATGCTTTTTAAGATTAAATAAAAAATAAATTTAAAATGTTTTGTTAAATTGAATATAGTAAAATAAATTGGTCATTCTTACAATTTTTGATTTAAAACGGCTTGTCCCTGGGGTTGCATGTCCGCAACTGAAATTCCTATTTGACGCGTGTTCTCAATGAACATTTCCAACTGCTGCTCTAAAGGTTCAAACTTCGAATCCGCCATTTGCGATCAGTCAGTCACTGCGATAAAAACGATAAACGCAATTTGCAGAACAAAACTTATTTTCAAAATTAGACTCTATTCCATATATATATACGACTGGAGACGAACACAAAGATAATAAAACATGAACAAAGTTTGTATGGAAAACCAAAAATATTTTTTAATTAAAGTTGTAAAAATCTCGTGTATAGAAAACTTATTATTATAATATCATATACTTAAAACACTTATACTGGCCGTTGAACGCACCATGCATATTTTATTAAAATTATACTTAAAATATTTATAAAATAAGAGATGGAGATGCCATTTATTCCAGGCTGCACGTATGCGTGCTTGAATGGCAGCTTCAGCTGTTCCAGTACAATCTAGAACATCCCCTAGATATTGAAACGATGTGACATTCTCTATTTTAATGGCTTCAAAAACAGTGCTATTTTGAATTTGTTGTTGTGGATTGATGCAAGCCGGACAAACAAAATTGGACACTTTAGATAAAGAACCAATTATTTTGGAACAACGTTTGTGACACCACTGGTTACACTGCTGACACTTGATTGAATTGTTACCTACACCAGCTTTACAAACTGAACAGGGCCATCGTCCAGTAGCTGTGGATTGGATGGGTTCACCAGTGTTCATTGCTTTGGTTTTGTTGATGTTTGATTTTGAATCCATGATCGGCGAGTCTGGTGTTCCAATCTTTAAACACCTGTGCTGCATTCTGCTCAGACGTGGCTGTTAAAACAATATCATCAGCATATACTAGATTCCAAATGTCACCAGTGCGTGTCGGTTTTGTGATTTCTTCCATCACAGTTATAAATAACAGTGGACTGAAAATCGAGCCTTGGTGAACTCCAACGCCGATGTCAAATGCATCTGTGTTACCAACCGTTGTGCTGACGAGAGTCTTAGTATTCGTATACATTTCCATCACAAGTCGAACAAGATATTCTGGAATGAGTTGTTGACGTTGACTCCACCTGATTGCTTCACCGGGAACTCGATCAAATGCTTTTTCAAGGTCTACAAAAATGTGTGATAGTTGTTGATGCTTTGCGAAGTACTTCTCTTGCAGTTGCCGAAGGATGTGAATTGCATCAATTGTTGATTTTCCCGCTAGAAAACCAAATTGATAATTTCCGATTGTGATGCCCGACGTTAATCTTCTTTCAATGATTTTCTCGACAATTTTCAGGGAGTGTTCTAACAGACATATACCCCGATATGATGCCTTTGTATAGAGGAACTGTCATGCTATAGTTCCATTCAGTCGGCATTGAGCAATTTCTCCAGATTTCACGGCAAAGTTGTAGTAACGTTTGGATACCTGCAGTACCAGATGCTTTGATAATGTCATTTGTGAGTCCAGAGGGCCCTGCTGCCTTTCCATCCTTCATAGCTTTCAGAGCTTCTGTCAGCTCGTCTACAGTGATGTCTGGAATCGGACCTTCGATGGGTGGAGCGTCAAAGTTAACATTGATTGGATTTGTTTCGTTTAACAGACGGTTGAAGTATTCTCTCCACTGTTGCTTGATCTCATCTCGTTCAAGAACCATCTCATTTTTGTCATTTTTTATACATGAGGCACCAACTATGTCTTTTTTCGTACGCTTTGCTTGTTTTGCTATACGATACAGAGATTTCATTTGTTCACCTTTGCTTTTAGTAAGCCACTCTCTGCACTGATCTGTCCAAGCCAGTGCAACTTGACGTCTTGCATAGTTGTTCTTCACACGGAAAATTTTATGGTCATCAACAGACTTTGATTTTTGCCATTGCTTGTATGAAACTTTCTTTTCAGCTATTGCATTTTGTACACTGTCATTCCACCACCAAGTGCCACGTTCATGCTGACGTTTTGTACCAGTTTTCCCACAAACTGTAGTTGCAGCATTCATCAAAACGGTTTTGTATGTACTCCAATCTGTACTGGCTTGCGATTGGTGGTCTAACTGTGTTGCGACGATCTGTTGAAATTTTTCTCGATGAATATTGCTTTTTAGCTTCCACGTTTTGATTCTCCGAGGCATTTGTTTAGACTTATGTTTTGACAGTTCGACAACCAGGTCTGCCACAAGGAGTCTATGTTGGGCGACACATGATTCGCCAGGTATAACTTTGACGTTTTTGAATAACACATGAAAAAATTTAAAATTTTAACATTTTAAATAAAAGCAATATTCCGAAATTAATAAATATAAAATCGTAACTTTTTGACTCGAACCATTCGAACGATAAAAAATCACCCTCCAAATTCCCTCCGGAAGTAAGCTTTTCAACCGTTAAAAGTGAGCGAGGGCCGTTATATTTATTCTAATTATGTGAGTCAGGCTAGTTTGAGATCGTGTTTCACCGGCCTCCCCTTGAGAACTTCTCGGTTCCATAAAAAACCACAAAGTAATTAACAGGTCTTATACATAAAGTAAGAATACCTAGACTGGTCATCGAACGTACCCGCGAACATTTTTAGTGCGTTTCAGAGTCTGGTCTCATTTTTTAGTTTTCTAAAATTATTTATCAGGTTTTACAAGTGCATTGTTTATTAATAAATATTTATTAATTTTTTGAAAATATTATTCATTTTCATTATTTTTAATTGATTTCCTTCACATGGATATATATAAGATATATGTTTCTTCATGCACTTATTTACATATTTTAGCATATTTAGTATCTTTTTTAGTCTCATATGGCCACGCTAATTTGAAATCGTCGTGCTTGACAGGTCTTCTGGTCTTATATCATAAACAAAACACGACTGAGTATCTCGATCATAAAACGTTAACAGCATCAACAATGATTAGACGGGACATGGATCAGATCTGTCAGCTGCTACGCGAGACTGACGCGGTTAGTCAATTAGCGACAAATACTTCTTGGAAAACGAACGCACTAATTTCTTGCATTGTTTCAGCTCTAATCAACTGAGCACAATGACGAAACCGAAAATTTTGAGTAAGGTGTAACAATTGTTGTTGTTCAAAGGAGAAACATTGGGACTGATGAAGTAACCACTTAATTTTTATCTGACATAAATTTCTTGTATAAAACTTTTCTATTCTCTCGGGCACCAGGTCTACAGCTCTGTCAGCCATAAATTCATGCAAGTTGTTGGAAGACATGGCGACCTCAGTATTTACTATCCATGGTGTGGTTTCCTCGATATTTTATATTCATAATTTTGTATTTTCCAGACTCAGCTGTTTGTTTGAAGAAATGAGTGTTGGTCTCTAGTTTTTTTTAACAATCATTCATTCAGTCAATCATTATTTTTTGGTAACACTATTTCTGTGATGTTTAGTAGTTCTCTACTCAATTTTTTCAACTTTACTAACCTTTTATACCTTTATCTTGTGTGTTTGCAGGCTGTAACTAAGCCATGAATATATCTAAATTAATAATAAGTCAATTTCTTATGCAGTAGAAGTATGCCGATTTAGTATGTGTGAGCAAAAAAGTGTAATCAAGAGCTGAAATGTTTCAGTGATTCGATGGATGAATTTAAACTACTGAAAATAAGCTTTTAAGCTTTCTAACTCAGACTAAGCGAGATCGGCTTAATTAGTCATGAGATTATTTGCACGACTTGAACGGCTCTGCATAGCTTTTCATATCAATTGTTGGTGAGCTACGTGAATAAAATATTAAAACATCAAAATTTTTGATAATCCCAAAAGCCGTTAATTTTTTTAGTTGGAAATTCATGTCGTCTATGAGTCAATCGACTATTTTTGTGGTCACATTAACCATACATAACTGTCAAGATGAATAGCAATTGAAATTTTAAAATAAAACAACCAAAAATGTATAATCGAAAATGGAGAAGGTGTGAAGAGCATTGTATGACATAACATACAACAAGGCAAACGAAAACCCTTAGCAATTTTTGTGATTTCCACCTTTAGTGAAGGATGTATTTTTTTTTTGAATAAACGCAAATGTAAAAATTTTTTAGACATTTAAGTACGTCGTTAGGTATGACAGCTATCACAAACAGGCAAGTGTTCAAAATAGATTTTTCATAAAAAATATTAACAACGCGAAAATTAATCAAATATTCAAAACAAAATTAATACTTAAAATGTAAATGAAATGAAATATATTTTGATTGTGCCAGTGTTCAACGCTAAATTCTAAGTTCGCTATTCTGTTTACTATTCATCATTCATGACATAGAGGTGTTTAACAGGGGTACATTTTACAACGTATATACCATATATATATATATATATATATATATATATATATATATATATATATATATATATATATATATATATACACACACGTTGGAAAAAGACCATATTTTATAGAGTATTGCATGACGAATTAGGATAACAAAGTTTTATTCTATTTTCAATAAATTGAACAATTTCCAGAAAATTCTAGTAATGGAAATTGAAAAGACAAACTCTAAATTGATTAATGCCAACAATTCGATAGAATTCATACAATACAGTATATATATATATATATATATATATATATATATATATAGCTATGGTGAGGATGAGTTAAAGTGAAAGATAGGAGGAGTAGTACAGAGCTGATGTCGATGATGGGACTGAATGAGGACATTGTGACATTGATAAGATTGCGGTGGTATGGACATGTGTTGAGAAGGGATGAAAGGGTCGGTATTAGACTAGCGTTGGAGTTCGAGGTTGAAGGAGTGATAGGAAGGGGTCGTCCGCGATTGGGATGGAAAGAGCAGGTGTGAAAAGGACAGAGTGAAAGCGGGGTTGCGTGATACTGAGGCGAGTGACTGATGTGAATGGCGTGGAGGGGTATTTCGGTTTCATCATAGGTAGCCAAACGGCAACCCCCGATCTCGGGAAAAATGTCGTCTAAACGTGTGTTGTATATATATATATATATATATATATATATATATATATATATATATATATATATATACTCACGTGTGTGTGATGTGGAGATAGGACGACAGAGGAGTGGCTCTCAGAATGACGTGCGCAGAAGAGAATAAATCATTAAGACAGAATTTAATGTTAATTGATTAAAAAAATATTTTAAAATCATAATTACATGCACAGATGTCTGGAAAAATTAGCAGGTTCATAGAAAAAAATGTGAAAAACCGAAAGAATGAGCAGAAACAAACCCACCACAAATGACCAATCACCCGAAGCGCTTGTATCATAAAAATGTTTACTGCGCTTGTTAAAATTCATTAACGAACATAAATAGATAATTCATCAAAAATAACAATAAATTGCCAAAACATTATTTACAAATATTGATTGAATAACTATTTACATCGGAACGATCAACAGAAAAAAAAACTAAACAATTGAGTAATAAAAATAACAACAATAATAATAATAATAATTATTATTATAGTTATAATTATCAGCTGAGGGAAGGTGGGGTCGATAAGTTGACGGTTGGCTGTCGAGGGCAGACGAATATTCGAACTTTGTGATAGACGACGGAAACGATGCCCAAGTAGCTCATACGAGGAATGTTTGACTGCAATTTCATAACATTTCACCTCATTTAGCCATATTCTGGCGTTTATTCATTTTAAAATTGTGTAAGGATATTGAATGATGTATATACTCGATATTTGGATCATTTATTTTTAAAATGCCGACATTCAGTACAAAATCAGATGCGTTCGAAAAAAGAGGGTAGAAACCAATTAAAAGAGTATAAATAAAATATTGAACAGAGATACAAGAAATGTATTATACAAACAACAACAACAACACACGTTTAGACGGCATTTTCCCCGAGATTGGGGGTTGCCGTTTGGCTACCTATGATGAAACCGAAATACCCCTCGACGCCATCCACATCTGTCACTCGCCTCAGTATCACGCAACCCCGCTTTCACCCTGTCCTTCTCCACCTGCTCTCTCCATCCCAATCGCGGACGACCCCTTCCTACTACTCCATCAACCTCGAACTCCAACGCTCGCCTAATCCCGACCCTTTCATCCCTTCTCAACACATGTCCATACCACCGCAATCTCGATCTCCTTATCAATGTCACAATGTCCTCATTCAGTCCCATCATTGACATCAGCTACTCCTATCCTTCACTTTAACCCCACACATCATCCTCACCATAGCTCTT